TTAGGCAGAAAAATTTGCTTCGATGACAGACTATTTCAAACAAATGCTGAATACCATTTGCCACTCCTTGGAAAGTTATCCAATGCAATTGGAAGTAATGCAATTTCAGGGGAAGCCGTTGATCGCGTTCGGCAAGAATACGTCGAGGCAACTTCCGAATGAACCAATTCGTTTTACTAAGGACGGTCTAAGTGCTCGACCGTTCACTTATCTGAATAGATCACCTAACCTTAGGCTAGGGACTGATGCCCAATCCGCATCGTTCAGGGACACTTAGTTATCGGCTCGGCATTACTTGCATCTATTTTTAGGATCAATGCTAGGAAGATCAAATAAGGACGAACTTTCAGCCCACCCATGCTCCAAGGCCAACCGTAGTTAATGCGGACATTAAATATGCACAACTTGTCTGTCTCCCTTCAGGAGCAGAGCGGAGCTAGACTGTAATCAATGAGGACAATGGTCTTCTGAGTGAAAACAGAGTGCGTGACAGGAAAATAAGAGGCCAAATCACTCAGTTGAAAAAGGACTAGCCAATTGGAAGCATGAACCTCTTGAGTGAGATATATTGAGAATGACAAAATCCAATAGTCAGTCTAAGAGATAAAAAAACATCCCATGTTGTCATGCATATAACCATTTCATAAAAGAATTATCCTCACTGGACAAAGATTGGGAAGCTCTAAAAGAGCTAAGAAGCAAAGGTTCCAAAGAAAGTCCAGAGCAAGATAACTTTTAAAAAATTCCAAAATTAATGTTAAGGGTGAAAAAGATGCATCCGCCCACTTGGAATTTCAACAGTTGCCTCCCAAAGTGTCCAGGCCCAATGAGGCATTTCTTTTGGAAGATTGATCTCCTCAGTTGGTTCATTTGACGGAGAGACTGATTGTTGCTCACTCTGTTTATGGGGCTTTATCGGTCTACTAACGGGATGAAGTTGAGCTGGTATCCAAGTGCATCCTGCGTCGGAGGAGACAGATACAGAAGTGATGGCACGTCCACCTCCACTATACGCATACCTTAAAGGAATAAAAGGGAACAAGTTGCGCCAATCTGACAATATGAATGCATGGATTTAGCAATTGAATGGTTTAGCGGAAGCCTTCTCGAGCTAATCAATCCTTCGTCATTCATATGCGGACATATTGGACAATTTTCATCAAAATCAACTAAGAAAAATTACCCTACAGTAATAAAAAAGCAATAACATACTCATAAAGCAAGATGTGTCATTTAGTTTAATACATTGCATATTGCCTCCATCCTACACAAATGTCAATACCACTTGACTTGGTATCAATTTTCACGAAGGACCATGCGCTCGAGTTAGTCTTAACTTACCATACTTGTCATTACAAGTATTTAATAAAAAAAATTAGCAACTCCAACCTAGCAGCATTCATATTTGGGTTCGATAGGTCGATTAAATCGACTTTCATCATAGCCAATCTCCATCACCTATTCTGAAATGGTGGTTTTCTTAGATATCTTCCTCCTTGTTAAATTCGCCCGATCCGCATTGGTTCTGACTTGCGGATTCACTAGTACCGACTTTACCTTATGGGTACCCTCAGTGTATAACTCAGTGTGAAATTACCAGATCATTAATTTTTCATAATTCACACTGGCCTGAGCACACGAATTACCATAAAAACTTAAATTCAGAGTCTGCATTAAGGATGTAGTGACCTAGCCTCACACTTTTCCCATTCAATGGTTAGTTTTTGTTACATTCCATGCGTAGCTCAGCATCCATTGGCACAGAGTTCACGTGAGTGCGTGACTAATCTTGACTCTATTTTGCGTCGCCTAATCAAAGCTCGGCACTGCATCGTCCAATAAAAAGTTGACATGGGAAACTACGCAAGGGTATATCAAGTAGCTAACGTCCTTTTTGAATAGGTCACCTACTTTTCCTTCTTTTTCTCCACTCCACCGTATCCTGCGGGGTTCATAATATTCTATTTGGCGCCATCTTTTAATGATTATCTTTCTATTGTCAGCTCCACAATACTGTAACCGACCGTTTCGAAATAGGACAACTCGTAGAACTATTTGTTCCTTTTCTCTCTTTATTTCTGAGCCCCTCTCTTTGGAGTTGTAGAGTTCAAGCATTTTATATTTTAGAGACAGTTCACGTCCTTTTCACAAACACAAGGATGTCGTCCGCCCTGACAACCAGCATTCAAAACAGCTGGCCTCAAAAGAGAAAGATGGGTTTCCATTGCCTTACCGGATGCCCGCATGCTAAGCTCTTCTAAGGGCACATGGGTGTCGCCACTCCACACGGTCAAAGAACAATACTAGAATGAGACCATATAGCGAACTTAAATGGGCCAACTCTGCTACGAACCCAAACTATTAACCTTTTGTCACGAGTCATGGATTTCGCCTTCAGGCTGAAGAGCAAGACATTTTATCCAAGGGTGAGTTTCCATCGATATAGTGTCGAATGCAGACTAGCTGTAATATCACATAAAAGTTAGATGCAAGAGATTTACACAATTATCTCACCGGAAAACGGGGAAAGATTGTTTCACTGCTTTGGCTTCATATGAGTGAATAGATTTCCTAAGCACTACTTGGCCTGTGACAAATATCATCAAAGGTGAAATGATTCCTTACCAGAATTCACCAAACATTAAGCACAAGATGGTCTCCAACTGCCATTCTATCTATTTATTACTACCTAATTCGGTGATCTAAAACAGGCGTCCCACGACTTGGTTGCCTACATCACGCTTCTGTAAATATGTCGCTAGGCCGCTCAAACACAGCATAATTTTCAAGGGGTTGGTGGGTGAGGTGATCCCAGGTACGGATAGCATAGTTAACTACATCGGTGGAATTCTCATCACCAGCAGCGACATCGATTAACAGAAAAGAGCCTAATGTCTATAACCGCATTTAATTGGCATGGTCATGGTACACTTCTAGGCAGAAGTCCAGAGCTGGCTAGCTGCTGTGCCATACAATTTTTACAATAAGAGTATATCTCATATATATATATATTTAGAAAAGCAATATTCAGTCCTCTTTTCAATGAAAACTAAACACTGTCCTCCACAGTTATACTGGATTACCTTGTCCTCCCCCAAACATGGTCACTACGACTAATATCAGGCGAAAAGTTTCTCGACCTAATTCTAATTCCTGAATTCCTGAATTTCTTATCATGTGCCGCCTAGTCTACTTGGCCAAGTGTTGACCTGAGATCTGTAAGAATGAGTCCCAGCTCTGAGGATGTCCATCACATGATGGACGAAAGCTCAGCCCGTTTTCACCCGAAACGAAGGAAGAAGTCTCGTGGACTGCGTCAACCTGAACGTCGTATTAAAGCCAAACGGCTGCAGTACGACGGGATTCAGCCATCGTCTTCTGGTGAGATTACCATGCACTTTCATACCCAATGAAGGTCTCCCCAACAATGTTACATCATGAGATTAATCGAAGCACAGTTAAGCTTCATATCTAAAATGTCTTTCTATTGTCAAATCTCCATATTATATTCAGCCGTTTCGAAATAGGAAGCTTGTTAATACTATTTTTCATTTTCTCTCTTCGTTTCAGGGCCTGAAACTGTGGAGTTATAGAGTGCAAA